TCTATCTATCTATCTATCTATCTATCTATCTATCTATCTATCTATCTATCTATCTATCTATCTATAGATTTTAGGACCGGTTGTCCTACTAATTTCCTATGGGACTGATTTCTAGCCAAAGTGGTCAGCAACTCAATAATGCTATTTAGAACTAATGGATTCATTACTTATGTTGCACAGCATTGCAATTGCTTGGCTCTCTGGCTACCATTTTGGGTTTTCTCAGTGCTGTGTGCTGAATTATGGTAATCAGATCAAAGGAGATGGATTCTTTTATGTTTTTCATTATTCAGCAGTAGGAATTTTTGCAGGTGCAATTCCTTTTCTCTTAAAATAAAGAAGACTAGATTTGAGGCAGACACTGAGAAAGTGTATTTCTTTTTTATGGCTGAATAATGCAACTTTGGAATTAGAACCATTTAGAAACAATGCATTGAATAACAACGGAAGCAGGACAAGTCTACCTGAAGGCCTTTGTCTTTGAATTTCAAAGCTGTCTAAGAAGATCAAGGCTCTTTGCATATGCCCAGAGGCTCTATTCTATTTAATGGAGTGAGCAAGTGCAACAAGACAGAAAAATCTAGTATTTTGATAGTTCTATCACAAGAGGCTTGCATGAATTCAGTAGTCGGACACACATTCTCTATTACTGGCTGTAGAAGTAGTAGTCCCCAACTTACAACAGTTCACTTAGTGACCATTCGAAGTAACAACGGCACTGAAAAAAGTGACTTATGGCTGTTTTTCACACTTCCGACCATTGCAGCATCCTCATGGTCACCTGATCAAAATTTAAACACTTGGCAACTGACTCATAGTTATGACAGTCGCAGTGTCCTAGGGTCATGTGATTTTCTTTCGTGACCTTCTGATAAGCAAAGTCAATGGGGAAGCCAGATTCACTTAACAACCGTCTCACTAACAACTTCAGTGATTCACTTAATGACGGTGGCAAGGAAGGTCGTAACTCAGTGAACAAATGTCTCGCTTAGCAACAGAAAATGTGGGCTCAATTGTAGTCATACATTGAGGACTACCTGTAATGAGGTGAAAAAAACTCTTTTGAAATGCCCTTTTCAGTTCAACTGTGGTAGCAATCTTCTCCAACCTGAGTGAGATTACAACTCATTGTATTTCCTAACCACTATGGTATTAAGCTGGAGGTTGATGGCAGTCCCAAAATATCTGGAAGCCATCTGGATGTGGGGAAGCCTTGCCAGAGCTGGCAGTCAGCAGATTCTGACCAGTTCTGGAGAATCGGTAGCGGAAATTTTGAGTAGTTCAGAGAACCAGCAAATACCACCTCTGACTGGCCCCACCCCCATCTATTCTCTGCCTCCCAAGTCCCAACTGATCGGCTGGGTCTTCTTTTGTTGCCCTGCACAGGAGAACGGAGCTGGAAAGCAGGTTAGTGGAGTGGAAGGGAATGGAGATTTTGCAGTAACCGTCCCCTGCCACGGCCACCAAGCCATGACCACAGAATCGATAGTAAAAATTTTTGAATCCCACCACTAAGCTTTACTATTGCTTTCTTCAAGTGAAGGAACCAGGCCCATTTTATTGGAAAAGAGGAAGATTAGAGGCATGATTGTAGTCTTCAGATACTGATTCTGTACTGTCTTAGAAATGATGGAGTTGATGTTGATTTGATTAGACTTATGTTTTTCTTATCCTAGTGCGAACTGAAAGAAGAACTAAAAGAGGAGCTAAGAACTCAATAGCTAGATAGTTCATCCAGGCTGGTGGTGGCCAGTCATAATCATCTTTTATTAGGAAATTCTTTAAGGAGGATTTTGCAGGTGTGGCCTACTGAGAAAATTAGGAAACCAATCATATTGGTTGTCAGTACTGTCTAATATACTCAAGTTCAGACAAATGTTTTTCCTGGTTGTTCCTCGAAATGTTGGCAATTGTAAGTTGAGTGTTACAGTTGATTCTGTAAACTGCTTAGAGAGGGCTGTAAAGCACTGTGAAGTGATATATAAGTCTAAGTGCTATTGCAATTGCATTTCAACATAGAATTTTCCAATAGGGGGAATTTTGGGGGATTTTTATTTTATTTCTGTTGCTCCACAGTATAGAATTAGGACCAACAGAAAGAAATGGTAGGAAAACAGGTTTCAACTCAACACCAAAAGCACTTCATGATAAGAAATGTGTAAGACTAATAGAGGCAATTTTGCAGGTTCTTCTGCACAGAGATTTCAGGTAATCAAATGCAAATTTGTTGTTGTTAACACTTATACTATAGGACTCTGTAGTCAATCTTTGTCTGCTATCAAGCTAACCCATTCTCAATTGTTTGGAAAGCTGAAATGGGAAGGGGGAGAGATCTATGTTGTTTCTAGATAGAATAGGTACAATTCTTTATTGGTCAAGTGTGATTGGACACAAGGAATTTGTCTTAGGTGCATAAACTCTCAGCATATATGGTGTGCGCTGAAGACAAATCCCTTGTATGTCCAATCACACTTGGCCAATAAAGAATTCTATCTATCCTATCTAGAAACAACATAGGTCACCCTCAATTCCAAAAGGGAAGGATAGATAATCAATAAGATGCATCCTGCCCTGAGTTGGGGTAAAAACATAGTATTTCAGTTCTGCCATCTCTCCTTTTTGTATCTGGTCAGTGAATTTTACAATCATGCTTTTGGCTCTGTATGGATGTTTAATAAGGGAGGAAAGGAGAGTATGTAAAATTGATTCTACTCCCAAATTATTTTCTCTTCCTAGAACTTTACTGGATGGCAATGATCCTCTATCATTTATCATATAATTGCCCAAATCCCTCCATTGTGTTCCTTTACAATCTGATATTTAACTGAGAAGAAAAAAATAACACAAGTGTCAGCATGAAAAAGTCTCACAAACCCAGGCTGCATTTCTTCCCTGATCTGATGGGCTCCAGGTGTATTACAGCTATTCTGAATCTACTTCACTTTCTTTTGCTTTTGAGATCTATGGAAACAGAACTGGAGGAAGAGTTATAATGCAAATAAATAGTTCAACCTATTTAGGTACCTATAGACTAAGCCATTGTGCCTATTAATAGGAACAGCATTCTTGCTACTAAAATGTAAAAGATGTGATAGTTTGGAAGAGGATAGGCAATCAGTATTTTTAAGCAGCGCATTCCATTAAAGCCTATTTAATTAGCAGTATATCCCACTAAGTCCCAAGTAAAGATGCATAGGATCAAAGCTTTGTTTTTCCCTAAAATAAACCAAAAAGGCTATTATGTGAGCCTATTAAAATAACCCATACAGATGATTTACTACTAGAAATGCCTAGAGAGAAATCATATTTACTCCCTAAAGCCCACAATTTAAAATTTTTAATGTTAAGCTTATTCATTATGGAACTGTAAGCCTGCAGCTGTAAATTTTGATGCTCTTGGAAATGAGGCATGTGTCAGGGGATTTATAGAGATACCTGAACTTTTAGGATTCATGAACCCACTTAAGCAAGAAACATTTCTTCATTTGGGCTGTGCTTAGGTGCAAGTCACTTTATAGGATTACCTGTGTGTTAGATTACAAATAACCAGTTGATTTAAAAAACCTACACCCCAAATTGTACAGAGTTTCAAGGGGTTATGGCATCTTAAGTGAAGTGAACTCCACTGAATATTCTATTCTTTGGATTTTAGAGTATCTAAGACAGCATTTGGCATACAAGACAAAATGAATTGGAAAGTTAAATGCTGCTGTTTTCAGCAGCAATTCCCCTTTAAATTATGCTTTAAACAATTTTTTAGTTGCGATAAGCTTTAGGAATGCTGGAACTGAAGAACCATTGTGCATTGATACAGAACTCTAAAACTCTCCAAGCACACAATATGTATTGCTTGTGGAACTCCAAGCATTCAATATGTAGTGTTTGCTTGCACACCTTACTCCTATTTGATTTATTACTATATGTATATATATTTTATACTGGAATGTAGTTAAATATCAAAGCCCAACCTGTACATGTTATTTTATCAAAAACCATTGTCAAAAGTATTACCATTTTGTATTGTTTCTGACACAATTTGCCAACCTTAATAAGAAATAGAAACTCCAGATCATATATATGTAATTTTATTACTAAATCAAAAACAGGTACAAATCAAATGCAGCTTTGCAAGCCAACTGAATCATTTCACAAAGTGACATACAGGCATAATTATATCACTTGTTCAAATACAATACATGAACACGCATACTTTACTACACAGCAATCCTAAGTGCATTTGGAAATTAAACTTAATGCATGCAAGTGTGGAAATTTACAAAACATGTTAACAGGAGGCAACCATCGTAACAATGCAAATGTTCAGATCGATCAGAAACCTGTGGATGAAAACAAAGAAAATGGTTTTTAGTTTAATGTAAGTATGGGTATGACAAGATTTATTCACAATATAAAGTATACAGGCAACCATCTAAAGAATGCAAATGTATAGATCCATGACAATCTGTGGATGGAAACAAGGAAAATGGTTTTACTGGCTGGGATGTGGTAACATGACATTTCCTGGTATCTAATAGTTCTTACTAACACCTCTTGCTTTTAGCAGTTGTAAAAGAGAGAGGTGGGAGGGGGAGAGAGCGCGCCTAAAACACCACACCATAGAACAGAAGGCAAACATATTAATAATGCAAATGTACAGGTTCTTATTCAGAATTTACATCATACTGTGTTGAATGGAATATATTCCCAGAAGTGCAACCACAGATGTTTTCAATTTATGTTGTGGCTAGCAGTTTAGCAAACTCCTTTCTTACCTATCTTCTTTTAGGTTCCTTTTCCAGAACTGCAGTCTCTTGCCTAAAAATAAAAATAAAGGCAGTTAGAATATAGTAAGGGTCACATTATAAACTCCATGAAGACCTGTGGATAAAAAGAGGAAAAATGGATTTTGCAGGCTGGCTTAACAATGCAAATGTACAGATTCTTATTCAGAATGTTCATCACACTGTGCAATGAAACATATTCCTTGAAGTGCAGCCACATACTTAGTTTTGTTAATTTAGCACTTTATAGCAAACTCCCTTGTTTCTTACCTATCTTCTGAGATCCTTTTCTCCAGAACTGCAGCCTCTTGCCTAAAAATAAAAATAAAGAAGTTACAATATAGTAAGGGTCACATTATAAATTCCATGAAGACCTGTGGATGAAAACGGGAAAAATGGAATTTGCAAGCTGGGAAGCCTTACCATGACACTTCCTGGCATCCACAAGTTCTCACTGACGCCTCTTGCTGTAAAAGAGAGAGAGAGAGAGAAACAAAAATATAATTTTTCCATCAGGAAAAATTCTGCCCCTTAGCCTGTTTAAAAAGCAAAGTTTGAATCAACATTTTTTCAAGCCGAGCCTGGAACTATTTAGCTAGGCTTCGAAAAATCTTATTGTAAGTACGGTAGCACTTTTCGGCATGGATCAAACCCGCCGACCTACAATAAGAAAGAAACCCACTTACAGAACCCGATCGGCAGAGCTGGGACCAACAAAAACTCGATCTCCCCGGCCTGCTTACTTGAAAGGTTTTCAACCTCGCTTGGGGATGCGTCGGAAGGCGGAAAAATCCTGCAGGGCCGATGCTACACTCCATCGCCCCATTTTCCCATGCCTTATGCCTCTTTAAATTCGGACTATCAAAGAAGTATATGCATAGGAAAAAGGAACGACGAGCAGAAATCAAGGCGATCCGGCTCTCCGGGACGACGAACGGCAGGCAGGCCGACCTGAAAGAAAAGGAGAAAAGAAAAGAAAAAGAATGAAAAATCAGGCATTCGCCGTGAGGCATCGCCGCGGGTACAAAAAATAAAAAAACTTCCCCCGACTTTTCCTTTGCTGCTTCTGGCCACAGCAGCCCCGAGAACCGAAGGCGCTACTACTCACCAGTATTTCCACTGCTGCAAAAACCTGCAAAAGAGAACGAAACAAAGATTTCTCCCTCCTGTTTGAAAATTTTGGAGAGAGTTCCTGGACTTCCCCAACCAGGGAGCCTTTTCACTCCCATACTTGGAAAAGAAAAACCCCAGCCGGGCCTAAGTCCCCAATGGCAAGAAGAAAAGGCAGGTCTTACCTGACTTGGGTCACTTGGGTCTCTGGGATCCCAAGTGCTCCGGGTCTGCCTTTCGCTCCGCATTTTATGCTGGTTCGAGACCTTGAAGCTACGCTAGCAAGACAGTGTGGCTGTTTTTCTCAAGCGCTAATCAGCCTGCCCCTCCGCAAAGGCTTCGCAAGCCGCACCTGCAAGATACCAAAAGCTTCGCTTGGCAAACAAAACAAAACAAAAAAAAGGGGGCTGGGAAGTATCCCTTTTGCGGGCAGGACGGGCGAGGGGGCCGAGAGGGGCATCGCCCTGAGAAAGCCGGTTATCGCTTCTTTTGCTCCCATTGACGTCAGAGATTGGCGCGAACGAAGAGAGACTTTTTACCCGAAAGGCCCTTAATTTTTTCCCCCCACAAAGCCATCTATCAAGATAACTTTTCAAGGCCGTCGGCCTAGCTCTCCATCAGCTTCTCTGTATTGGCAAGATTCAATTCTCCAAGAAAAAAAAAGAGGAGCAAGCAACTTATTCTGCTTTGCTATCATTGCTTACACACACAAAAAGAGATGCCTCTTAACAGCTTTTGCCATCATTCCCCTCAATTTAGTAGTCTTTTGGGGTACCCTTGGTCCCTAATTCATATTCACTGAAGCTGAAATCTTCACTATGTTTATAGTCAGATCCCTAAAAATGATGCAGTTTCTCCAATAATTGCATCAAAGAATTGCCATTGTTGGTTGTTGTAAAAAAAAATGTTCACCTTTTCCTACCTTTCCATTCAAACCACAGGCTGGGCCTGGGAGGAAGAGGCAGGTAAGGCTTAGCCAATGTAATGAAAATGTAACATTTTAATGATTAAAAACATGAGTATTTCCACAGGTATTTCATAATGCTCAAGGTAATATATTTAGCACCCCCTTTTATTATTTTTCCCCTCAACAGCCCTGCAAGGTAGTCACCCAGTGAACTGCTGTGATTGCAGGTTGATTTAAGTGTGGGTCTTCCTGCTTTTTATTTAGTGTTTTTCAAAGTGGGCAACCCCCCAACGGGCATGGGGGTTGAAGTTCACACATCTAAGAGTTGCCAGGGTTGAGAAACACTATAGTCCAATAACTTGGCAATTGGCTTTAAATCTTAGAGGGGCTTTGAGGATATTTGTAGAGGATATTAAGCTATGGCCAAATGCAGTCACTGCACTCTTGTACAGATAGTAAGAATGATGGCTTCACATATTGCAGCAAGCAATTATTGCTAAATAAACCACAGTTGGCTTTATTCACTCATCTGAGTTCTACAATGCACACAAATCAAACTATAGTATGACATTTGGACATTATGCAGTCTATAAATACTGACAAAGAGGAGACAACCAGAAAGGGGCTGTTCCATCCAGTTTAGTCCCCCAAATATTTATCCAAGAAAAGGTTGAGCACCTGGCAACATGTATGTATGTATGTATGTATGTATGTATGTATGTATGTATGTATGTATGTATGTATGAATGAATGAATGAATGAATATATATTTTCATTGAAATGCAGCCAACTGAGTCTTGTTACTGAGTGAGTAAATTCCCCCTATTAAATTAGGCTCATACACATCCTGTGGTAAATTATGCTGAAAATAACAAAATTTATATTCCACTTTTTTCTAACAAACTTTAATAATTCTCCCTCCTATTTTATTATTACAGTACAACACCCTTGTAATATAGGTTAAGGTTGTTCATTTTTCATTATTGATAGCCCTCAACTTATAACCATTTGTTCAGTGACTGTTTGAAGTTGCAATGGCACTGAAAAAACTAAGTTATGATCAGTTTTCATGTCTACAGCCATTATAGCCTCCCCATGGTCACATGATCAAACTTTGGGTGTGTGGCAAGTGGCATATATTTAGAATAGTTACAGTGACCTGCGTTCATTTGATCATCGTTTGCCACCTTCCCAGCTGGCTTCTGACAGCCAAAGTCATTGGGGGAAGCCAGATTCATTTAACAACCATATGATTCCCTTGACAATTGCAGTGATTTGCTTAACAAGCCTGGCAAAAAAGGTTGTAAAATGGGCCTTGACTCATTTAACAACTGCCTTCTTAGCAATGGAAATGTTGGGTTTAATTGTGGTCATAAGTAGAAGACTATCGGTGACAAAGTGTGAAGGAGGGAGATCAAAACACAGATTGAATTTACAGCAGCAATTAAGAAACCCCAGGCCTCTCCTTTAATTTACATTTGTGAGCTTTTTGACAAGAAACTGCCAACCTTGTGATTTTGGGGGAAATCTTGGCTGAGTTCACACATTACATTAAAGAACAAGATGCAGTTTCAGAGACTTAGCATAGATTGCAGGAAAGTTATTATTATGTGCACAAAAATGGAGAAATACTGAAATATCCACACTGGAGGAATGGTTGGTGAAGATGGCAGAAATGGCAAAACTGACATGACTAATTAAAGACAAAGCAGTAAGTACTTTCACAAAGGACTGAAAACTTTTATGGACTTTTAACAGAAAATGGAAAAGAGTGAATGATTCAGCAATGGAAAAAAGGATTGATTAAAGGGCCAAAGTAATTTTTCTAATATGAAAGAAGGAGAGATAATAAGTTTGTTTGTACAGTAATTGCTGAAAAGGAGGGAAGCCATTTTATTCTGTTTTTTTTTAAATTATCTCTTTTACTGTATTGCCTTCTGCACTTTTCCTTTTTCCCTCTTTTTCTTACTATGCTTTTTATGTTTTTCTTTATGCATTTTAATATTTGCCTTTTATCCATGTACACAGTTAATAAAAATTATATAATTAGGAGAATATGTGAACTCAGTTTTTACCTTTCCTTAGTTCTTCACTTTCCCTTGCACAGATACATTTTCTTCCTTTTGAAAAAGTACTTTTTCATGCCCCTCAGTGTGCATGCATATCCATCTTTCTCATGCCCCTTTGGGTCATCCTATGGGAATATGTTTTGCTACTTTAACCCCTTGAGATTTATTACTAGAAAGTTAGTTAAAGAACTTATAAAAATAATCCTTCGGGTCTACTTAAAAGTGCATCTCATATGTGCTTGGTCTGCGTTGACTTGTGAAAATGCACTCAGGCATTTTCAAGTCCTCATCTTGTACAATTGCTAATTTATCAAGATGGTATCTGAATAAAACAAGAAAAGATGGAATGGGGGAAAAGCCAACTCATTTTTTCAGAACAAGAAGTGGTACATTTTTTAAAAGGACCAGTGTTAGAAGGTTTGTAAGATTACCAGTGAACTTACACAATCTCACATATTTGCATTTGTTGCAGTTATGGTATATCCCACCTCTTGGCAGCATAGATACCACTTTCTCCCCTATATACTCTCCAAAACAACAGCCCTGTGAGGTGGTAAATTAGACTGAGGTGGTAAATTGGACTGAAAGAAAGTCATTGGTCCATAGTCACCAAGTAAATTTTTATGGTTAAGGTTTGATTTGAAACTGGGTTTCTCCAGTCTTCATCCAACACCGTAATTTTTACAGAAATTCTGTTTGGAACAGCTGGGCAAGGGACACCCCACCATCTAGATATGGCAGGTCAAGAATAGAATGGGAATAGAGACAAAAAGTCCTGCTGTATATATATGGATGTATATATGTATTGTGTGTAGCTGTCCAACTTGCAAATTGTAGTTTGGAGTGGCTATCATAAAAATGAAGCAAGAAGCATAAAATGAAGGAAAGTAATAAAGAAATCCACAAAACCACAACATAAAACTACGCAGAGGCCAAACCCAAACTCTTCAATAATCTGAACTATTTCGTAGACAGTCTTGTCCAGCATCTTGGCCCAATGCCCAAGGGAAAAATCCAAACCATACACAATGATTGGGGCATCCACATTTCTGGGGGTATGCTGTTCTGAAGAACATGGCTCCTAAGTCCCATCAGAGGACTTGATTTCATAAAGGGAGCCTCAAGAGTGTCCATTATGTTGAATATCATCAGATGGTCAGATAAAACCAGAAACAGGAGAGCTCTCAAATCATCTGACTCTGTGCTATGAAAGACTTTATAGGTGATGACTAGCACTTGAATTGCAGCTGGAAGACAAAAGAAAGACAGTGCAGCTCATGAAGTAGAGCTATAACATGGGACTGCTGAAGTGCCACAATCACTACCCATATTATTGCATTTTGGACCAATTTTTTTAAAATAAATTTTATTGAGTATAAACATTAAAAAACATTGAATGTGGTGGTCTTTCCACCACATTCTTGACTGAAATCAGCTGTGTGGGGTGAAAAGCCTGAAATTTGTTGGCATACATTTATGTTAATACATTTTGCATTTAGAAAGATAAAGAAGTTATGTACAATTATATAAATATATCCATTTAAACTTTGTAATTTTTAAATCTTTCTCATTATTCCTCATTATTCCTCACCTGTTCCCTATTTCACCTTAAATTCTTATTTCAATTTTATGAACTCCCTTTCATGTCCCTCCAGTAGTAAAATTTATTCCATATTTTGCGGTATTCTGATTCATCTTGATCCTTCAATTCTAATGTCAACCTATCCATTTCGACGCATTGTAATATCT